GTGTGTGTGAGAGAGAGAGAGAGACGATCCAACCTCGCGGCTCGCGCCATGCTACTTCCATCGATAGGATGAGCAACATCCAATGAATCTTCGGGTAGAACATGGAAATATACACTACCTGGTTGAATATGGCCGAACGCATCATGCCACTTCCATCGATAGGATGAGCAAAATCGTATGACTCTTCCCCAAGAACATGGAAATATTCACTACCTGCTTGAACATAGCCGACAAAACCGTAGCCAAAAAAGAGCCCGTGCATAAAGTTGCGCCGACACCAACCCCCCCCACCGCGCGGCGCAAAAAAAAAAAGGTACCCAAAAAAGAGCCCGCTGGCCACCCGCAGGCAACCCGACTCGACCCCCTGGCCTCACCGAACCGGCACGCAGTCCGCCCTTGGGCCTGCCACGAGTCCCACACCAGGGAACTGGGTCTCGTGGTGGACCGTCACGCGAGACCCGCGTTTTCCTTCATATGTATAGAGAAAAGGAAACACTCTGTCAGACAAACTCTGTTAGACATCCCACGGGAAAGATGTGATACGCTCAGTTGGGCGATGTATGGGGAGCCAAGGATCCGCAAAGTGATGAAAAGGACTCGAATGGACAATGCAGTGTCGGCAAAACATCAACAAGCAATGTACATCCAGATATATATGAAAATAGCACACTGTAGCGCAACGAAAGACTCAAAGAAATGACCTGACCTGTCAGATACCAACGCGACACCCCATCATACACCACACATGTGAGAGAGAGAGGAGGGACCGCATACATAGACGGAAGGTCCGTCCTTGATCACGCACATAGGGAGATACCACGGATGAGGAGATGGGGGGCAGAGACAAGACGAAGATGGAGATGAGGGAGAAGGCCAAGATCGCGATAGCGAAGTCCAAAAATAGTCTCCCTGCCAAATGTCCAATCAATGTCTGCCACAAAATGTTGAATCGGATCCTGGGCCTCATGCTCGATGTAACCTCTGCCTGTAATCTCTCTCTCTCTCTCTCTCTCTCTGAAAGAAGAAGAAGAAGGAGGGAGAAGAGATAGAGGGCGAGATGAAGAAGAAGAAGATGTCGTCCTTCTTGCTGTCTCACCTGCAGGTAACTGCCGCCGTGTACTGACTGCATGGTGTTCCTGTGCAGGTCGCTGGCGCAGAGCCCAGCTATGGCGCCCAGGTAAGTACCGCCGCTGCAGGTATGACCTCCGCCTCCTTTGCTCTACCTACACCTCTACCTGTAACGCAGCACTGTGTCGTGCTGCTCCAGTAGCGTGTTGCCCAAGAAGTGAGGTACTCGGACTGTGTGTCTGCCCAGGCGTGGCCCAGCTACAAGTAGCACTGGGCCTCGCGGGTGTGTCCCTCCGTGTGCCTCTGGTCTTCGGCCCTGCTGATGCAGCAGGGAAGTCCGCAACTGGACGAAAACAGACCTGGCCCAACAGGGCCTGCCTATGTCCGTACCAGGCCAAAAACGTGGCCTTTGTGCTGCCTCAAATCGAAACCTGCGCCCTAAGGCTGGTAGCGGGCCTCCAGGGCATGTGTCTGAGGGGCATGCGGCCTGCCCCCCCCCAGCAACCGTCGGCCCCCCAAAATGGGGGCCGTGTGCAGGCTCAGCATGTAACAGATATGAGACTTCAGTCTTAGATACTTTGTCTCCTTTTTCAGGAAGTGTGCAATGAATTGCAGTATTATGCGGGCTGTACACTACTTCGATCTGTTTTGGCTGGTTTTGAGCTCTCCGGGACTTATCCCGTGACCTGTACCGTGGTTGTGTTTTTCTTTGTATGTGTGAGCCTTAGTGGGCTCGATCCCTAGGTCTGAGTGTGAGAGTCTCTGTAGGGTAGTCATAGAACCACTGGGCCTATCTGTTTTGTCCGTTTCTGCCCTTCAGTTGTAGGTCGTTTCTGTCCTTCCCTTTTGCCAATTTTACGTCTTCGGTTGTAGGCTATAGGCTGTCGTTCATAGGCTGTAGGCTGTCGAGTGAGGGAAAACAGCAGTCTACAAAAGTGCTGAGGGCAACGAAAAACGTGTTCTGTCTCGTCATTTTTTTTCCGCGGAAGTGCTGCTGGAGGTTGCGTGGGGAGTGCAGCGCTATTTTGCTAGCGCAGGTCACCTTCCTTGTGGTGATGACTGGCGGCCATAGCTGGGAGAGCCAGCATCAGCGGTAGCAGCGCTGGGCATCAGGCCCTGAGCGCCGTAAGATGCTTCTTCTTACCTGTGCTGTTGGGGATAGGCAGGGTCGCCAATGAGACCCTCCTTGCAAGTGTTTGTCGAACTGGCAGCCATCTCCTTCTTCTTCAAGTTAGAGTTCTTCTTCTACATCCAGGGAGCTACCCTCCCCTGTTGAGCGGACCCTTCATCTGCAGTGGGCATCGAATTTGGACTGCTGAGTGACGCGTCGGGTTCAGCTGGGTTGGTGGCGATTGATGGGCTTGATAGGTTGGCTGCAGGCCTGCGCCATAGCTGTGAGCTTGAGGTTGGGAGGAAGACGAAGTCTCCCTTGATGAAGCTCTGTAAATAGTTTGTTCGTGGATGTTGATAACGTGGTTGGGATCCTGGGAATTTTGGTGCTGCTGATTAAACTTGAGATAGACGGTTTAATTAGAATTGATTAATTTCAATTCTTTTTTTTTTTTTTTTTTTACCGTTCGTTTCAAAAGAATCTATTCGAACAGAGCGTTCCTTTGTTTTTTGGGAAAATTTTGGACCCTTTCTCGATTTATGCGTGTCATCCTTGCGCAGGGGCCATGCTAATCTTCATTCTCTGCATCGTTCCAATTTTAACAGATGCCCCGAAGGACAATTGATTTCAATTCTAATTTTGGTTTTGTGAGCTTCCGCTGAGCATTCTCCTCATCTGGTGTGGTGTGGATTTCTCTCTCCAAGTCTGCTTGTCATTGCATGAGTATGGGAACGTGTGAATGCCATGCTGGATTCGTTTTTAATCAGGCACATAAACAACAAGTGCACCTGTCAATGGTGGAACGCGTCACTGTCCAGAGGGCAGTTAATATTCAGCAAATTGTCTGAATGTCTGCAACTGACTTGGTGCTCCTCTGAATTTGCAATGCGTCCTTGATGGAACGCGTCACTGTGCAGAGGACGGTTAATTTACTGATACTGACAATTTGCAGAAGGTTAATCTACTAAAAGGGCCTTTACCCGATATAGGCCTCAGGCCTTGTAAAGGTAAAGCAGCACGGGCCTTGTAAGGATTGTGAAAAGGTATCTCGCCAGGGCTCAGAAACGTGAARGCAGGTCAAAGGTCAACTTCTCTGTCAACAGGCACATCTAAATCTAAGGCAAAGGGCATTGTCAAAVGACTTACCTGTTCACCAGGAGATGTGTATGTCATGTCTGTCCGGGTAAGAGTGTGTCTGTACGTGCAGGCAGTGTACCTGTTCGTGCAAAGGAAAGTGTCTGTTCAAGCAGTAACTGTGTCTGTTCGTTTAGAGTTGTGCCTGTCCAAAGGTAAAGTCAATAGGCACAGTCCCAGTTCTGGTATAAGTCAAGGGGTCAGTCCAGATCCAGACTTTGAAGTCCGAATCCAGGCCGAAAGGCCTCAGCAGCAGTTGAATTTCATTGGGACTGTACTGGGACACATGCAATGCAGGGTCTGGGACAAAAGGAAGACTGAACTGAACCAATGCAGACCCAGCGAGGAATGACCAGCACTATAAAGGGAGCTGCCTGCCTCATTCCTCGCCAGATCTCCACTGGCTGTAATGCGTGGAAGTGCTGGTGCACTTGTGCGCTGAGTCAGGAGGAACAGCGCTGGAGGTAGAAGATGCGCTGAAGGAGGGAGGAAGAAGCCTGTACGCTGGAAGTGATGCAGCCATAGCTGCCCAGCGAGTTAGCATTAGTAATAGAGGGTTAGTATGTAGCTATGAGTAGTATCCAGAGTAGATCCTCATGAGTGAAGAGTGTGTATGCAGCGTAGGAGGAAGGACTGAGGCTGAGAGTGTTCATTCAAGGTTCGGCTATGGAAGATACTTACCTGGGTTGGATGTGACCTGCAGAGGTGGCGCTGATGAGTAGTGACCACATTGATGACTTGGAGACTATCTGCAAGAGTAGCGCTGATTCACTGGAAGTCATATTGATGAGTTGACAAGAGATTGGTGTTGCGCTGATGGGCGCTGGACTCAGGGAACTTTGAAGCACTTTGTATTCATATTTCTGATAATATAAGCTGTGAAACTCGGTCCCCTTCTTCTCTACCTTTGTCTATGGTTGAGACTATTGATCACTGCGTGTGAAGATGATGCATGACATGTACACATTTGCGTGACATGGGCCCCAGGACCCATGCATCTACCGACAATGCGTCTTTATGGTGCTTCTGAACAGAATTGCAGAAGGTTAATCTACCGACAATGCGTCTTTATGGTGCTTCTGTACAGAATTGCAGAAGGTTAATCTACCGACAATCTTGGCCGTAAATTGTATGTGGTAAAAATGCGAAGAGGGCCGCTAGCCCTTCTCTGCCAACCTGTTTTGATGTCTGCCGCTGTGTTATTGCTTATATGATGCGGTGAATGAGGGCTTTGGGAGATTATATTCTGAGTGGATGAGCCGCTTTGTTGTATCCTGTTGTGGTGGTTGCAGGGCTGGTTATCTGGTCCTTTTGGTTGAAAGAGCCAAGAAGTGTCTAGACTTCACAGCAACGATGTACATTATTCATATCTTCTTCTGCTTGCTGTATGCAGGCTGGCCATCGACCTTCTCCTGGTGGGTGGTCAATGGGATTGGCTTAGCGATTATGGCTGTTTTGGGGGAATGGCTCTGTATGCAGAAGGAGCTCAGGGATATACCCATTCGAGGGGGTCGTGGTGCTGCTACAAGCTCGGCAAGGGCTCTGCCTCTTTAGTATTTTTCACTTGCTTGTCTTGATGGTTTTCCTTTCCCATTGACACGCCCCCACACATGCTTGCATGTGCTGATTACACATGCTTAATCCAGAGCAAGGAGCTCTGTTTGTGTTGTGTGTGCATGCGTGCAGTGGGACAATGATGTGTGTGTGTTGTAGGAAGCACAGACACAGAGAGAGAGAGAGAGAGAGAGAGAGAGAGAGAGAGAGAGAGAGAGAGAGGGCTTGGGAGAGGATTGACCTGGAGAACCCATGCGGTGGTATCTAGGTTTTGATGTGTGGCAACATTCTGCCACTGTAGTTCAATTGCAATTTCTGTGATGTGGTCTGATGTGGTTGGGGTATGAGTTTGCGACCTACAAATCAGGGCGAAGCGCTGTTCGTGAACATTTGACGGGCTTGTAGAAGGGGTGTGAAGCGACTCTCAATCGTGTGCGTAGTCAACGTAAAGTTCAGCGAGCTGTGGTCTGCTGGTGTTCCTTGTCTTCCAGAGAAGCACGCTAGGTGAGGTGAAGAGGGAGGGCCAGGTGGAGAGGGAGCATTCTAGGACCGGTCATTCTGTGATGACTACATGCTTGGCTGGAGAATATGGTTTTGATGACTTGCGTGGAACCAAGGAGAACGGAAGGAACATGGATACGTTCTGGGAAGAGACTCGGAACATTGGTACATTCTGAATCTTCGACAGATTCACAGTCTGTTGCTTTTAAGTTTTATCCAGTCGCCCACGCTCCCGAAAGAATTCAGCCCCCTACAGGATTTGAACCTGTGACAGAGACTACATAAAGCGATGCGGCTGTTGCTTCCGACTGCGATGAATGAATGCCCTTGTACGATCTTGCTGCGCAGCATATTTGGTAAGTGGCAGCTTGTTTTGGATTGGGGATTGGGTGTTATCCCGGGGAGTTGTTTATTAATTCTAAAAAGTTGGCTCTCATATGTCCATGCTGGTCTGTTTTTTGTATGTGGTTCTGAATAACGAGTGAAACTGCACCCTGCAGAAAAACGTACGAAAATGTACAAATTACAAAGTGGTCGAAGGCGGCGGAGCGGCACTAGCAGTTGATTTCTTGGATCGAAGGCGATGGAGTGCCTGGTTCAGTTGACAGTGGTCTTTTATGTTGGTGTATGAAGAAGAGGGCACTAGCAGTTCCCAGTTCCTCCCTCATTCAGAGATTCTGCTTTTGCAGTATTACTATTTGGCGATTGCAAGGTGGTTTTGAATTCTCTTTTTCTCTAAGTTTTTCACCCTTTTGTCTTTCAGTTTTGGTTTGCTGATTGCAAGTTGATTTCTTGGATCGGCTGGCTCCTAGCAGAATGCGGCTCGCTGTCTGCACTATTTAATTGGTAAGCTCTGCGTCTGCACTCTTCGCTATTTTCATTATTCGTTATTTTGGTGTTTGTCGTGTGCAATGTCGTCTTTTCATTTCCTCTCAAATTGTTGCAACTCGTGTTTGCGGTTGTGCTCAGTCGTCTTCTGGCGATTACTCTTTTCCTCGCCCGTCTCGTTTTCCACTGCGTTTCCTTTTTTGCCCGGTGTTCTTTCGTCGCTTATTCCTACTCGCCTGTTTTGTTCCACTGCTGTTCCTCCTCACCTGTTAAGTTCCACACCTATTCCTCCTCACCTGTTTCGTTCCACTGCTATTCCTCCTCACCTGTTTCGTTCCACTGCTATTCCTCCTCACCTATTCCTCCTCACTTGTTTCGTTCCACTGCTATTCCTCCTCACCTGTTTCGTTCCACTGCTATTCCTCCTCACCTATTCCTCCTCACCTATTCCTCCTCACCTGTTTCGTTCCACTGCTATTCCTCCTCACCTATTCCTCCTCACCTGTTTCGTTCCACTGGTATCGACAAAGCAGGTAGTCTTCGATTGACAACTAAATGTCATGGAAGGCGCTTCGTTGTCACACACGTGTCTCTTGTGTACGGGCTGCGTGGGCTGAATGAACGACCATTGCGCGATGAACTCGGAAGTTTTGGAATATCCTGGCGGATCCAAGTAATTGATCAGCGATCAGCGATCGCAATCTTGCACTTGAAACAAGATTGAAGATGCTGATCGGACATGAAGATGCAGTCTTCTCTGTCCTGTGTACTATCTACTATATGGAATCTACTACGTAGTACGGGGCCACTACAGGCGGTATATCGAATCTATGTAGTATGGGATGAGAATTCATTGCTAGTGAGAACTGTGTTGTGTTTCATCAGTTTGAATTGCTAGAGTTGACATGAGTTTAGGACTGTAGATTACGTGGCGGGAGATTAATTTTACGCATTTTACACTCTTTACGCTCTTCTGGATTTTACAAAGTGGAGCAGTGGTGGTGCTTTCTGTGGCAGAGTACCCTTTGCAAGGTGGATATTTTCTTTTTCTTGGAACTTAAAACCCTTTGCATCTGTGCTAGGGTTGAGCGGGCCTGGTACACAATTTATTTGAACCTGACGTTTCAAAAAGAACCGAAAGTCAACACATTTCTTCCAATTGCTGTTGATGTTCCTTGGCCTTTGCGGTCCAAATTTGAGATTATTCATTTTGTGAAAAGAAAGGTTTTGCACGTGTCCTGAATGGTTTTGCACTTGTCCTGAATGGTTTTGCACTTGTCCTGAATGGTTTTGCACTTGTCCTGAATGCTCTGCTGTTGTCATCATTTCTGAATTTCTGAAGTGGTCCACTGTCCCAAGTCTGTGAAAGCTTTTGTAGCGATTTTTATTCATTTTGTGCATTTTTGGTTCTCATGAGAGAGAGAGAGAGAGAGAGAGAGAGAGAAGGACAGACAGACAGACAGACACGTCCGTGAGAGAGAGAGAGAGACTCACGTCCCTGAGAGAGAGAGAGACCCGCATCCCAGAGAGAGAGAGAGAGAGAGAGAGAGATTCACATCCCTGATGAATGGTTGGGCAAGGTCGTGAATGTGAAGACGTTTGCACTGGTGTAGCAGCCATGATGTGCTTCAGTCATCACTTTTGAATTTCTGAAGTGGTAGTCATGACAATTCTGTGAAAGCTTTTGCAGCGATATTTATTCATTTTGTGCATTTTTGCGCTGATGTAGGCAGCCGTGATGTGCTTCATTTGTTGCATCTTCTGTGTTTGATTTCTTCTCGCAGCTGTGACGGCAGTGCTTTGTAGTGAGCTGTCTATTTCTTGTAGGCTGACTTTCGGAGGTTATCTGTGATAGTCGGCTGGCTTCCAGATGTTATCTGTGCTAATGGTTTCCCCCCATTCCCTCTTCCTGATGTGTTACTCTCTCATTTTGCGTTATAAGCTTATAATGGTATAAGCTGTTTGTGGCCACTGTGCTGACTGTGTTTCATGGTTCAGGTAGTTGCCACTAAGGTCAGCATGGCGCACTCGAACCTTCTGGTTCTTCTGGGATTCTTTAACGTGAACCTCGCGTAGTTTCTGGACTGTCTTTTTGAAGTCTCGTCTGATAGCGCAAGTGTAGTTCACAACGGTGGAGTTCACACATGCGCATGACACATGGATAATAATTGGTCTGTTGGTGTCTTTGACATGAACCTGGCTTACTTTCTTGCCAAAGCGTGACTCGCGCGTTGAGAATGTCTCAGAGCTGGCATGTCTGACTCAGGTTGTAAACGGTTGTTTAAGGAGATGCTTCTCTGTTTCCTTTTTGTTATTGTCGAGTTTTGCCGGAGAGGGGCATTACTAGCAGGAGATGAGCAAGCAATGCAAATTCTCAAGCAGATGTAGCAGCATCATACGTAAACCACCAGTATTTACTAAAGTTGTGCCCGTTGACAACAGGAAACGTACGGGCCACTACAGGAGCGCCCAAATTCATCCGACTAGAATGTTTCTAGCACTTTCTTCTCTATTTTTTTCCGCCGATCGCTGGGCCAAGCACTGGTGGTTTAGACCACCAGTACTTGCCCAAACTGTGAACGTGCACGTGTCAGGACGGGCTGGGACTAACGGGCCTGCAGCGCATGGACAAACTGATTCGACGCAGCATTCTAGCAACTGTACTGTTCATCCAAATTGCATCGACGAGTACCAGCCCTTGCCCGGTCGGGAGAGGGCTGGTATTGTGACCGGGGGGAGGGTGTGCACGATTCTGAGTACCCCCTTTTTGTGTGATTTTCAATTCTGAGCAACTGTTCATGCTGGGCAGCCCCCCATTTGGGGGAGGGCTGTTGTTGGTTTTCGGTTCGTAGTACTTCATAGTACTTCGTACGCATAGGCTTTTAACTTCTAAGTGCCTAAAGTAGTACTTCGTCATAATGATAATAATGAATCCCCTTAGGCCCGGATGCCGTGACACTCGCGCAATCTGGATGTGGAACCTCCATCCGTGAACAATGTGTGGGCAGAAGTCCACAGTTGTTAAACTGCAATGACGATGGCATGCATCTGGATGCGGAAGCTGCATCCATGCGACTTTGTATGGTAGCTTATGTTTTTGAGATCCTATACAGATGATTTGTGTGCACCCTTAAATACAAGGCTGGAGCCTGGAGTACTTCAATGGCCTGCTTAGGCCTGAAATGCAGAACTGCACAGGGCTAGTGCAAGGGTTTTGGAACCGCATTGCGAGCGGTTCTCTCATCTATCGAAGTACGAATGATGACCGGATAGAGTGTAAAGGATTGAATTCTTAGAAGTTCTCAAGAGGTAACCAAGCAAGACATTGGCCATGGGAGGTTTTCGTCGACAAACTACAATTTTTGGAGTGGCAAGGCCTTGCCATGACACCCTCCACTTCCACGTCATCTAGATTTGCTAATGGGGGTGTGGGAAACAGAGAAAGAAACACCAGCGCGGACGCCTGCCTTTCGCATGCCGATGCAGGGCTAGGGGGCACTTAATAATGAAATACAATGAGCTCCCATGTTTGATCTCCTGGACCCTGTTGCAATTTTTTGCTAAAGGACCAGTACATGCCTGCTATTGGTCGCGGGGCCCTTTCTGAGGCTGCCCGCCGCCGATTCATTTTATCTACGGTGCTCTGCAACCTAAATTTTAGGAGAGGCTCAAAACAGGTTCTGCAGCTGCCTGGGGCCCTGTACTGGTGGTTTAACAGACTCTGACACTACCATCCAGGTCAGAATATCGGACACACCTGCTCGTTGTGTACAATTGACGCAATCAATATCTCTGAAATTTGTGAGTGTGGCCGATCTCAAGGCAAGGCCGTTTCCAGTCTGTGCGAACATGAAAGAGCAGGAACACAGCGCTCTGAGTGCATTGCCCACCGAGGAAATCTGAACAAGCATCAGATGGCAAGTGCGGGCAATGAAGGTCTAAGAATTGTGGGAGAGCAGCTCACCTCTCTCTCTCTCTGTCTCTCTCTCTCTCTCTCTCTCTCTCTCTCTCTCTCTCTCTCTCTCTCTCTCTCTCTCT